CTATGCCCCAGACTTTATGAGGATGTTTCATTTTTAGCCTTTTCCAGCACTATTAAAGCAACTTGACTTTTTGCTTTGCTTTAAGGACATGGAAGATGACATGTGGAACCAGCTTGGATTAGAGCATGCTTGCACTGATCCTGCAGCCTGGAGTCACCTGGGTAGAGAGGCACTGGCACAAGTTGCTCAGAAAGGTGGTGGATGTCCCAAGCTTGCAGACAGCCAAAGTCAGGCTATTGGGACTCTGAGCACTCAGCTCTAAGCATCCCTGTTCACTTCAGGGAGTGGGACCAGATGGCCTTTAGGGGTCCCTTCCAATGCAGACAATTTTATGATTCTGTGATCAAACAGGGAAGGATGTGTGTATCTCAGGCCTAACCTAGAGAAGGATGGGAGCATTTGGGATCCATGCCCATCCAGGTACCCAGCCTGGAGCATCCCCACAGTCAGCACTTGCCCTGGCAAACCTGCCCAGGTGCATCTGTGCCTGCAGGCCCCTGTAGACCAAAATCACGGGAGAATAAATAATATTCGTAACATGGAGTGATGCAGCCACAGCCTCATCACAGCACACACAGTTTACTGCTGCCCTCCATCTCATGTCATCCACGCTTTACCCACAACCAGCAAACCACAGACAACAGCAAAGTCACAGCAGTGTGACCACGGAGCTGTGACCTACTCTTAGATCCACACCTCCACATACACAGATGTTTAATCAGATGCATGACAGGGCTGGCAAATCCTGTCTCAGAGCTGTTCCGTGGTTACCAGCAGCGAAGCTATTAAGCCCCTTTTGCAGCCCCATATGCATTCACTTCATGCATTTAATCCTGACAGCCCTAGTAAATTCTTCTGAAAATAAAAGAAAGCCCTTGTTTCCCCCCTCCCTGAGCTACCACTTCTTGTTAAATGTCATTAAAAGCAGAACCCACAATAACATCAGCCCTGCTGAAGGTTGAAACCACCTTGACTGCAATCCTGGCGTGGCACTGGATACAGAAAAATAAAGCAGAAAAGCAGATACTTCCTTCCACTTCTCTGTCAGCTCCACTTTGCATCAAAATCTCCTTTGTATGTCACACAGTTATTAAAGTTGTGGATTGTGGCTCACAGTGTACGCGTGTGAATGTGAGTGTGCCTTGGAAACTGGGTCACCCAGAGAGCTCTGTGAAAACTCGGCCCTGACAAACCAGGCTGGCGAGGCTCAAAGATACCCCTTGTAATGCTTTCCTGCCTCCCGTCATGCTTTGAAAGGAGCAAATAATACTACTTTCTGCTGTATTCTTGTATCTTTTATTCAGCAGTTTCCTGAAGGTAAATAACCTCCGGCAGGCAAATCTAAGAGGATGCTCCTATCTCGTTTGCTGTCTCCTCGCACCAAAATCATGATCTGTTTTGCTTTCATGAGGCTTTTTATAAAACATTCCCTTTTTCCACGAGAAGCAGCTATCACAGAGGGCTATCAGCTCCCCAGGCGTGGCTACAGCTCCATCCCAGCATCTCATCCTTCCATATCCCAAAGCCCCAGGAGGGCACCAACCCAGAGGGATGGGGAAAAGCATGGAGCAGGGGGAACACAGCCAAGGGGCAGCTGCAGGAAGTGTGTTTGTCAGGAGAACCAGAGGTAGGAAAACGGTTGGAAGGGTCTGGCTTCAGGCATACACCTGCTGGCATAGGGAGAGAATCCTCCTGTAGAGGACTCTAAACTACACCCAGCCCTCCATGCTTCAATCCATCCCAACATGCAGTAATGAACTCGTGAACCCAACGAGCAGAGGAAGAAAGGCAGGGGTCAGTAGGGTTGTTCCAGCAGTGAGCAATGGGATCTCCAAGCAGTGAGTTGGCACAGGCAAGTGACAGTAGGGGAATTACTGCCCATCTTCCACGCTGCCTGGACTCCAAAGGATTTAAAGACTGTTTAAAAGATGTTAGAAAAGGACACCCTTTTTCCAGCCTTCCTTCTTCCACATGTTTTGGGATGTGTCGGTCACAAAGAGGAGAGGGAAAGGCTGAGAGAAAGGGACAAGAAAGGATAAAGGTTGGAGAGTAGATCTGGAGAAAAGCCTATCTTGGCTGTGCTCTCCAGGAGCATAGGCTGCAATTAGATCTCTTTTGCCATATTAATATCATTGCTAAATCTAGAGGTGCCTGCAGATGCGACTTGGGCAGCTGGTACGTGCAGACACTTTCAGGTTTGCATCTCATTTGCTAAAAATAAAGGTTTAAGGGGGAAGCAGTGCAAGAAAACTGGTGAAGGGAGCAGGTCATGCTTGTCTGAAATTGCATTCAGTGATTGCAACTGCTGAAATCTTCAACTAAATTCAAATCTTTTGCAGACCGAAGGTGTAGAGAGCGCTGCAGAACAGGTTTAAGGTTCCCTTAATGAACACATGAAGGTACATATATTACAGACTCCAAGGCCAGAGTTCCAGCTACTTTAAAATATATGGTGAATGAGTCCTTCTCCTCCAGCTGGTGGGAGCAGGATTAGTGCAGGAGGTGCATGCTGGCCCCCCTAGGAACCACCTGTACAGGGCAGACAAGGGGAGGAACAGTCCAACCCTATTTTCATGCAGGATGGCTCAGGATGACTTTTCCAACCTTGATTTAAACCCATCTTCTCAGAGGTACTGACTTCAAATCATTTTCCTTCTGCTATTACTCCTGAAGAAAGCACTTAAAACAGATTCATCACAAAACCTCTGCCTTCCAGGTGCTTTATATACAGAATCACAGGTGTTGGAAGGGACCTCTGGAAATCACTGAGTCCAACCTGCTGCTAAAACATGTTCCCCACCTGTCCCATCAGTGCTGGAAACCCTGTGACCAAACCACCTGCAGCAGCTGAGCTACAGCCACATTCTTTGGGATGCTGCACCATTCCCTTTCCTATCCTTTCCATTCCTTTTCCATGATTTTCACAGCTTTAAGAGCCATCCCTGACTACGCAATGTTTCTGTCTCTGCCTGGGAAGGCCAAGGCTGGCTGATAACATTGGCTGATAACATTGGCTTCACCCTCTATGCAACCTTGGAGCCAAGGGTCAGTACCAGAAGTAAATGGGCTCTTTTTCAAACCATGATTAGCTGTCATTTGTCACAATTCCCAACGTGAGCTCAGAACAACTAGAGAAGGAATTGCTCTTTTCCCACCCTGCTCCATCCCTCCCAGGCTCAGGCAATGAGCGTGTATTGACATCACTTACTTGAGATATTTTGCAAAAGGCACTGAGTGAAATTCACTCTGTGGATCTGTCAGTGCTTTTTCACAGCCCACACACACACACGTGGTACAGCCAGGTGATGGTTTAACATTCAAAGAGTTGGGGTGAGCTCTGTCATGGAAATGGGATTTCCGTTTGGTTAAAATTTCCCAGCGTGGCACAAAACAGAAAAAAAAAAAATCACCAGTCTTTCTACAAAAGCAAATAGGTGCTCTTTAATTTGGGTAGGTGGAAGCATTTGTATTTCTTGCTTTTGTTATGAAAGGCTGGGCAGGTTATATTAACTGAAAGAAACCGCAGAATGAAAAGCTCTGGTGAAAAACATCAGCCTGAGAGTGAAAGAGCTGTGAGTGGAGCAACATCAACCTTTTTTTCCATTCTCTCCAGAACATATTTAGAACTGCTGTACTGTTGTTTCATGGGAAGTATCTGCTCCAAGATGACACCCCCATGCAATACAGAGCCAGAAACCCCACTATGGCTATTTCTGTTCTGTAGATTCTCTGCCCTACCTCATTAAATTACATAAACCACCTACAAAATAGCATCTCCCAAAGGACAAACGCTCCTCTTGAAAAGTTTCAACCTGTTCCTGTCAAACACCATTCAGCTCAGACAGAGCAGCTGCTTTTCCTCGTTGCATCATTTCTTCTGACATCAGAAGTCTGTGCTAATATCTGGGGAGGCCGAGGGAGTCCTGATGCAGTGCTGCTCCCACAGCCACCCTGATCCAGGCAGCAGAAACACCAATGGCTCTTTTCCTTTCTTACAGGATGCCTGTGCTGCAGTGTAGAGACCACAGATACAACTGTGTTAACGAGGGCTTGCTCTGTTCAGAGCCCTCATTGCAAACTACATCTCTGTGATGATGCTGGCACGTCACGGTGGCCTTCCTCAGAGACACTGATCTCTGCAATGCAAGTAGAACCAGAGCTACATCTACATGCTTGGCATGGGTCAGATTAAGCACATAACAAAAACAGAGCACATCCCTGTTACAGATGAGATGAAATTATCTTGGCTGCAGCAGCCCTTTGGAGCTTCATCTCCATCTGTTTTTATGACCTAGGCCACAGTTGCTTTAATAATTGGAACATGCTTGGCTCCTTACATGAGAGATGAATACAGATCTGTTCACATATTCACCCACATGAGTAAATAATAATAGCAAAGCTACCTGCTGTACACTGAGCAACAAAAACTCATGTGAACTATAACACAATAGAAAGCACAGCAATGACAGCAGAGCAGAAAGGTGCTAGACTGCAGCAAGCAAGGACTTGCTCAAAAGCAACAGCCATGGGCACAGAAATAAAGGAAAAAAGCTACTAACCTTTGGAAGACCTTAGGTACACAGGGATCTCCAGCAGAATACCATTGCCTCCACTGCCAACACTTAAATGAGGTCTGGGAAGGGGTGGATCCTGGCTCCATCCCTTCTGGTTGTGCACCTGAGCTCCCTTGGGTTGGCCCTGCCTTTCCAGGTGCTCAATCACTACTTCAAGCTATGACAGATTTCCACTACATCAATACATATGAAGACATGAGAATGTTCAGTTTTCCTTTGGAGATTTGCTTCCAGTAACAAGGGCAAATGTATGTGTGTGTGAGCCACAATATTTTCCCTTTGACGCGGTACTGTTTTGGTTTGAAAGAAGGATTTGCCTTTATTTTATTGGGGAAAGAAAGTTGTTCTGGTAAAGGAGGGATTTGCTTTTTTTCCTAGGTAACAATGATGGGACAAGAGGTGATGGCCTGAAGTTGTGCCAGGGGAAGTTCAGGTTGGATATTAGGAAACACTTCTTCTCAGAAGAGTGGTAATGCATTGGCACAGGCTGCCCAGGGACATCAGTGGACGTGGTGGGGTGGGCTGAGGTTGGACTTGGGGATCTTAGAGGTCGTTTCCAACCATAATGATTCTAGGAAAGCCAAGTCTACTCTTTCTCTGCCAGGTAAATAGTGAAAATACAACTGTTCTCAGCCTTTCTCTCCTCAGCTCATAAACCACAGAGTACTTTTTGGTGGCAGGTCGGGTTGGGAAGGGAGGACAGCTGGGAGCATGGGAGCCTGCAGTGACAGGTGGACACCTACAGCACACAGCAGCTTGGCACTGCACCCCAACATGGGCTGTTCTTGTCTTCTGCCACACTGTTCTGCTGAGCATCATGCCTCGCAGGAATGTATATCCTGCTTCTGATGCTGAAGATTTGGCAATAAAATAAATCAGCTTGTGTCTTCTAAGCACTGACTGTTATTGAGGCCAAGGGAATATCTAAATGTATCAAGGGAAACAGGTATGGTGTTGACTGGGCTCACAGAGGATAAGCCTCATCTGTTTCCCTTGTTTTCTGAACAAGGGTCTCTGCTCCAGGCTCTGCCTCACAATCTCTCCCCCCTCACCCTTTCCTGAATCCATTTTGGCTTTTGTTCTTTGTCTTGGGCAGCAAGAAAGCCCAGGGCAATTCATGAATCTGCCTCTGCTGTGGAGACCCCAAGAGTGTTTGAAGAGGACGAGGATGCCACGTGACTGCCTTCTGCTTTCTTTGTACAGGTGGGAGCCTCCTCTCTGCATCACCCCTGCTCTCCTCCTAAAGTTGTTTTGATATTCAATAAACCATTCCTTTTTAAACAATACTGGCCTAAACCCTTATTGCGATGCTCAGAACCACTTGCAGGCTTTCTGAAGCCCATTATTACAATTACAATCAAGAATCATAGGATGCTGTTCTCCGTGCCAGAAATACGTACACACTGAACTGTTTGCAGAAGAGACACAAAGAAGGATGGAGAGGTGCTGCTTCCGTACTGCTCAACTCAGGAGCACCCCATTTCATTATACCTCATTCTTTTTCTGATGTAACTGATGATATCCAGGCTAATACTTGCTTTTCTTCCATACTCTCCAGTAGCCTTGATGCAAGGAACCTAGAGCTGGGCCTGTATCCCAGCTCTACCTCCCATAGCCCATCCCATCCCCTGCCCTGGGTGAGGGTCTGGGGGTGCTGTGAGCTGCAGAGCTCAGGGCACATTGATCAAGGCAGAGGTGAGGAGCATTGCACTTTGGAACCGAAAAACAAACTGTCCAGGTAAGCAAACGCAGCATCCAGCTTGGTTTTATTAAAGCTTTGTCTCGTGGGTCATAGACGACCTTAGGGAGGGCTGTGAGATTTTTGTTAGTGTTATCCCAATACACTACTGACAGAACACGCAGAGAGGGGACTGTGGTGCAGCTTTTTCCAGCACAAGCCCTGAAATTAGCTTTCCGTCTTTTGCAAATAATGTCTGAAGTCAATCTCACCTATCGCTGGCTACCACAGAGATGTTGCTATCTGGTGCTTAGAAAAGTGAGATGGATCAGGCCCTTTCTTCTGAGAAAATATCAAGTCTGATTCATCACTCAATTGCTTCTGTTTTACCTCTGTAGAACGGCATTGATTAAGAGGGATTTGCAAGTTTAAGACTAGACTAATTCAGTGATTAATCCCAACCAAAGCCTTCCGTAAATAGAGAGCAATACTCCAACAGTATTCAATATCCAACACGTCAATAAATTGCTCTGTACTATGATTCAATGGCATTAAACTTTCCTTCCTTTTAGTCACGGTGGTGATGGGGTACTTTCAGTATTGCTAACCCAGACCTAAAGACCTAAATCTTGTTTCTTTTCCTATCATGTTTAGAGTTGAGAGCCAATAGTTCTGTACCTTCACTCTCCCCTGGAAACCCCAGGGTCCGCTCATAGTGGCAGACTGAATTCCCCCTAAGCAAAGCTGAGTTTCAGAGGTAAGAACAGCCCATCCATTCTCAAATCTGTCCACTGATCCCTGCATGGATTGCTGGACCAGCTTCAGCTGATTGCTACGGACAACCACAGAGCTCAGGCATCTGCAGTTTTTTCAGCTGTTGCCACTGCTTTTCTTGATAGCTGCCTGGAGGAAGGGCAGTCATCAAAGTAGGTGTTTCTGTAGTGCTTTTACATTGCCTCTCTTCACTTTGTCCAACCCTGAACAGCCACAGAAGTACCAGCTTCTGAGCATCAAACATCAGCCAGGGCTTGGGTGGGAGACAGGACAGAAGTGATGTTTCTTTCTCTTTACATGAGTTTTATCTCCTCGTGATTCCATTTTTTGCCTTCTAGCAGGACTGACATCAGCTGCCTCCAGAAGATATGCCTGCTGATTTCCTTGTCTTTCCACTCCAGATAAGTGTTCCTCCTCAGATATCGGGACAGTCCCAGCCTCTGCCTCAGCAAGGTCTTATCCACTTCCCCTAGTACGATCATGATGATTCCAGCCTTCCCTTCAACAAGCTGCCAGGACTGAGCAATGTCAAACTCAAAGCTACACCACTTGCTTTCCAGAAAGTCAGCTGAGATGACTGCAATGACATTTCTGCTACTCAGAAAACCTTCTTGGATTATATTAGTGACAATGGGTACCCCTGGTAAAAAATCCCTGTAGTAAAGACAAAGCTGGAAGGGAGGTTTTCCTTCTTCTAAGGGTTCCACCAGCTCTTTCATCACCCATTCTTGGTCTTTGCTGGAATGGATAACAAAGGCATCATAGGTATCTCCCCTTTCTGCAGAGTGTTTATACCCACTGAGCAGCACCAATAAGTAATATAGCTGGAAGTAGTACTTATAAATGAGGAATAGAAATATTCCTGCAGCAAGCAAAACAATCACTGAGCATGCTACTGTGGTTGGGTTGGGATGGCAAGAGGACATATCGAAGTTTAACAGGCTCACATTCTTCATGTAGGCAGGTGTGTGGCATATCATCGAACGCTTGTTCTGCAGTAGATCCTGCTTTTCCTTGACCCATTTCAGGAAGTTCAAGTGTATGCAGGAGCATTCGAATAAGTTATGAGAAATGTCTAGCAAGACCAGACTGTCAGGCAGGATTTCCAGGGCTGAGTCTGACAGAAAACTCAACTGGTTGTTGCTGAAATCCAGGGATGTGAGGGCTTGGAGTGGCCTGTAGGTTACAGGATCAAAAGTCAATAGCTTGTTGTTGCTGATGATTAGCTCTTTTAGTTCAGAAAGTGCGTTAAATGTACTTTGGTCCACCCATACTAATTTGCAACTTGAAATATCCAAGATGCGGAGGCGTCTTACGTTTTCAAAGTGGTTGATCAGTGTATTGTTCTCAAAGGAGTTGCCTGCCATCTTGAGCACTTGCAAAGAGTTCAAGCCATGAAAGATATGATGGGATATAACATGAGTTTTGGTGTAGGAGATATCAAGGTAAATGAGTTTCTGAAGGACTAGAAAGACAGGGTAGGTGCCATGATGAATTAACTTTGTGTGTTGAAAGTCCAAGTATAGCAGATTTCTCAGATTAGCAAAATCTCCAGTCAAACTGATGTCAGAATTGAAGCTTAGGTTCAAGTGTTTCAAATTTGGAGAGCCGGGAAACTTAGGGGAACAGCAGGTAAGGAAGGAGAGACGATTCGCACTCAAATCAACGACTTCCAAGTAAGTTAGACTCCCAAAGTTTTGCTCGAAGCTATTTAGGTCTTTGCTCTTGGTAATACGAAGCACTCTCAACTCCTTAAAAAGAGAGAGCTTCTCAGCAGGCAATTCCTGAAACTTACATTTCTTCCATTCCAGACGTTTCACTTGAGAAAACATAGGAACCTCTGACAACGTTCCAAGATTAAGGTCTACCAACCTAATAGTGGAGACATTGCCTATGCAGTCAAAAAGAGTGTCTGTGTCATTCTCAAACTCTCTGAAACACATTAAGACAAACTCCTGCATCTGTACCTGACACAGTCCACTCAAGAGTCCGTTCTGAAATGCTGTCATTTTCATAATGTTAGTGAATTCTCCAACTATTAGTCTGTTGACCTGTAAACCTGCCAGGCCCTGAAGAGAAGAGTGCATCACATGGAGGTTCTCAAAAGAGGATCTCAGAACCAGTTCACCAAGGTGAATCTTTGCAAAGGATCCTGACTGGATGTATTTTATATTGTTCATAGAAAGTACCAATGTGAGGTTGAGCCTGTTGGTTTCCCTCAGGGCATCAAGGTCCCCTTTGGAGATATATGTAATATTATTGGAGGAAAAGCTCAGGTGCCTGAGAGAGGTCAGGTTGGCAAAATACTTAGGAAGCTTCAATGAAGTAATGTTGTTATGGCCCAGATTCAGCTCCTGCAGGGTATTCAAGTGTCCGATGGGTAGGTCAGACAGAGAGGATATGCTGGTTTCCACCAATACTAGTTTTTTCAGAGACGTTAAGCCATAGAAGGCTGCCAGACCCAGATGCTGGAGGGAATTGGCAGTTAAAATTAAGGTAGAAAGGTTATAAAGATCCACAAAAGTGTTATCTTCTATTGCATGGATGTGGCACCTGTTAAGCAGGAAAAAAGGGTAAATGTGGCTGAAGCACTGTCCCTTTCAGCCCACGTTCACTAACAATACTGCACTAGGTAAGAATGCAATGTTATCAGGCTCAGCATCACTCTGAGGTTTGGTTTGGCTTTATAGCACTGACCAGTACCCCTGAACCCAACCCCTCAAACTACAGGTGAACACTCTCATTTCCCAGGAAGGGGCACAAAACAAAAAGAATTATGTAATAACAGGAGACCTTCTCTCGTCCCTTCGTCCCTCCCTAAATCTGAAGCTCAATTGCAAAGCAAGAGACCTGGAGCCATGGCAAAGGTCAGAACTCATGCAGGCAGAAGGACAGAAGACCTGAAATTCGAGGACCAAATCCATTCTGCAATGAACTCATGAGCCTTACAGCCAACCTGCTCTGTCACTTCAGAGCTGTAATTGTCATGGGATGGAGTGAAACAATTTACCCAGAGAAATTGTTGTCTCAAGCGAATGAAAACGATATATCAGTTCAAATCTGCTAATAGACCTCCCCCACCTCCTCCCCCAGATGCGTGAGTAGAAAGGAAAAGAGGATACGTTGGTATTTTAAAGCAATCTTTTAAAAAATTAATGCACCTTCATTTTTATTTTTTATTTTACTCGTGATTAGAAAAACAGTCCACCCAACGTGTTCCACTTCGGAGTTTTTGTAACAGTGAAAAGTCTGACATTTTTCTTGTTTAGAGAGAAGTGGAACATCTTCCTTCCTCTTCCTCACATCCCGTCCTACAAGATCAGACTGACAGGCACAGCTCTGGGCAATGTGCACTCAGTATCTGGACTGAAAGCTGCACATCATTGCCATGGCATGGGCAGGGAAGAGGGATGGAAGCAAGAGTGAAACAGGAAACAGGCAAGAGCCACGAGACTCCAAAATAAGGAACTGCTGAGGCCCACATGGTGAAGACAAACCAATAACCATATAAAAAGGCTAATTACCTTGAAAGATCCAGAAGCTGCAGTTCAGGTACTGATGAAAAATAATTTGAGCTCAGCGATTTCAGATTGTTGAAACTGAGGTCCAAGTCTAGGGTGGTGTTTGGGATTTCAGCAGGAACTCCAGAGATGTTCTGTCCTGTGCATCTGAAAGCTATGCTGGGGATGACCTGTGGCAGATCTCAGTCAGCACCAAATGTCAGGAAATCATACAGCTATACAGGAAAGCAGAACCTTGTGGCTCGTTTCTAAACGAACCTTCCAGCTCATTTCTAAATGAGCTGCCCTGAGCTTCAGGAAATAAGCTCATACATCCGAGCACCTGTCCTCTTTCTAATAGGACCAATCTTACTCCCCAGTGAGAGCTGCATTTATTGTTGATTGAAAAGGACAGTGTTCCCTGGGGCTAAGGGTGACCCAGCAGCAACCTCTGAGAGAGCATAACAAACACACAGGGATGTGTGCTGTGCCCAGGACCAGCTCTCAGCTGGGTGACATTGCAGACAAACCGGCAGAGAGAACAGAAATTTCTGACAGTAGTAAGTAAAGTTTGTAACTGATTGGTGCCTGTTTGGGGTTTGGGGTAGTGGTGAAATCAGTGCACAGTGTGAATCAGGCAAAAATTGCATAATTTGCAGATGTTTTAGGCAGGGCTCGGATCTCTTCCTGAAGGGAATAGAACCATAGAATAGTTTGAGTTGGAAGGGACACTTAAAGGCCATCAGGTCCCACTCCCTGCAGTGCACAGGGACACCCATGGCTCCATCAGTGCTCAGAGCCCCAGCAGCCTGAGCTTGGCTTCTGCAGGGATGGGGCACCACCACCTCTCTGTGCAACCTGTGCCAGTACCTCATCATCCTTATGGCAATATAAGCTAACAATAAGCAATGGTTAAAGCTGCTTATTCTGGTTCTCAGGTGCTTCTGAGACCAGTGTTTACTTCAGATATTTCAATTGCCTTGGTAACAGCCTTGGAAGAAAGAAGAGCTTTCCTAGGAAAACTAACACACGACAGTTTTGATGCGCAAACCTCAAGCAGAAGAGAAAGTTGCACCAGAGAAGCGAAAGGATTTTGTGCTGGTATTCAAAAATCACATACCTCCAGGCAGGGAGCGGGGATGCATCCTGCCAGCAGGGACAGCACGAGCAGCAGCCACAGCAGCACCCTGAGCTGTGCAATGGGAGCCGCACTGCTGGGCATCTTTGGGAGAAAGCACCATGGGTGGCACTCAGGGATGTGGAGCAAAGGATCCCTCCCCCAAGCACTGCATGCTTCACCACGCCTGCTTCTCACTGCACATCACTGCGGGTTGCACAGGGCAGGAAGGGAAGTGAAAGCGGTGGCTGCCCAGTTTCTAGACATGCTTGCACTGAATTGCTCTTCTAGCAGTGCTGTCACTTGATTGCTTCAGATTAGATCAGGCTAAATTAGTGAAAAAAGGGAAACTTTCGTGAAACTCTGAGCCCTGTTTCCAAAAGGCCAGATTTCACAGCCATAACATGGACACAGCACTGCCCCAGGACGGGGATGCCCAGGACTGGCTGGGCTCTGTATTCAAAGCCTTGCTACAAAATTGAGTTTGTTGAGGGCTGTCTCGATGCCATCCTTAACTCAAAGCACAGACACAGCTATTGTTTCTGGAGGAGATGTTTGTAGTATTAATTTAATTCAGCTGTGAGCTTTCTAACAAAGCTCCTTGCCTTCATTTACCTTGATAAATGGTAGTGCTTTATTGTATCTAGTCGTGTGTTGCTGTAGATAACTGAGAGTTGTTTCTGAGGATGTAGCTGTAGGGTTGGGGGATATTATCGACACGGAAAAGTGGCAAGAATGGGAAATGAGGGCAGGATATGAGTCTAGAAGTAGATAGAACAGGGAGTGGCTAATGATGAAACTGTGAAAATTGATAGTAAATAATATAAGCTGCTACACCAGGTGAGCAGCAATACACTTATAAAATCTCGGGGAGAGGAGATGGACATGGGACTTCTTTGGCAAGGTCAGCAGAGGGCCAGTGAGGGATGAGGAAATCCTAAAATGACAGAAGATCCCTGTGATAAAAAACACAGGGCAGCACAATAGAAGCTAAATGGGACACCCTGATATGCAGCCAGACAGAGCCCGTTAAGCCAGCAGACAAAAAGTTTGTTGAAATTGGGCAAGTTCAACAAAATCCCTGTTCTGAAAAGCCTCTTGTGATTGCAGGTATTTCCTTTTGCAGATGGAATCAAAAGTGAATGGAAACAATCGCTGACTGCTTCTGTGCCTGGATTAAGGAAATTGGCAGAGCATCATGAGTCTGCAGAGAGGACAAATGAGCGTGTCTTTTAGTATTCAATATGCAGAATGAAGCAATCCACTTTTAATTTTTATCTAAAGCTGAGATGAGCCTGAAGTATGCTCCAGACATTAACATTTCAATGGAGACTCGCTGAAGATGTTGGAGAGTTTGGGAGCATCACAAAATCCATCCAACAGCCACACTTAGGGGTCAGGTGGAAAGCACGATGTGAAGGACGTGCAAGAAATGAGCCACTTCTCTCACAGGGGACAGTTTCACAATGCAAACCATCAATGGTTCAAGAGCAAACTGTACAGAAATTGCAAGGAATGGGGCACAAGCAGAAAGCACACCAGCTAGCAAATCAAACCCAGCCACCAGTTTAGAAAGTCAGTGCCAGTTAACTTCACATTCTTCAGCTTGCATACAATGTGCAATGACTGTAGAAAGCATAATGCCTCTGTAATTTCCTCCTTCAGTTCACAAGAAACAAAAGTATTATTTTGAATCCTTTAAAGTGACAAGAATAACATCTAAAATAAAACACGACTCACTGCGCTGGCAATTTTCTGGTAGGATCATCAAAGATCTCTTAGGAAGGAGGTGTTAACGGAAAATCTCAGTGTTTCTAAAAACACTTGCCAGGGTAAACTCTGTTCTTCTGATTATTATAATATACGTAACGCAGCAGCACACGGCATATATGCAATCTCTGTCATCTGAAGGAAGATATTACCCAGCAAAAGATGGCCACAACACAGTTGGACCAACAAAACACATTGCACATTACATTACTTAGACAGCTACTGAGTCACTGAGGTTCAGCTGAGGCATGGTCCCTCCTTATGCACAGCAACTGAGTCATCTGGCTGCAACGGGAAGGCTGTCTGAGCGGATAGAAAAAGCAAAAGGAAACATCTCAAATCCAAAATGTTGAATTTCACTGGCTATTTGCTGGGAAAAGGAAACAAATCGACAGCAATTTATCTAAATCACAATGAAAACTAAAAAATAAATCCAAAAATGGCTCTATGAGATCCTCTCGCTGAGAATATCTTGCTTCCTGGAAACAGTGAGTCAGTGGCTCCCGCAGCCAGCCCTGCTGAGCTGGGCAGCCATGGATAAAGGCAGCACTGAGCTGTGCCCTGTGCCAAGGCTGGAGAAGGGGCTGAGGAGGGGTGTCACTGCAAGGGTCCTCACTGCAGTGCTTGGGTGCCTGCAGCTTGTGATGCTTTCCCACGTGGAATGGGTGTGATGGAAGGTCAGCCTGAAAGACCTCTTGCTTTTGCTTCTGCATCGCGTACCTCCGAAGAGTAAACACACTGAGAGAGTAAATCTGCTTTTAGTGTGGGGCTTTAGAAAAATTGGCCACTCTCCGTCCGAGCAGTGATTGATTCCAGTTACAGGTGATTTAACTGCTGGGCTCAAAGCAAGGAGCATCAATGGTGCAGCCTGAGTGCTGTGCCTGCGAGTGTCAGGTAAGGACGTGAAGGTGGGATCAGAGATGGTCTGTTTGTGCTGTGTGGCACAGACTAAGCCAACTGCAAACGGGGCCACCCAAAACAAAGCATGATCCAGTAGAGCTAAGGTCTTTGCCACTGAGAAAAAGGACAGGTCTGGGTGTACAGAGAGGAAAGATACAAAACCAAAAACTTCTGTCCAACTTAGTTTGATCAAAAGCAGCTGAGCCTACACTGAAGTAGGTAATGTGTATCATCAGATGGGCTATTCCCCAAAGCCAAGGTCATATGAATACCCCAGATCTATTCAAAAGCTATTAGGGAAGAACTGTGTCAGGTAACCAGGGACAAATATACGACTAAAGGAAGTGATTAATCAGTGTCAAGGCAGTCACTATCTGTGGCAGGTACTCCATATGGACTATGTCAGGTCATTCAGGAGCCCTACATTTTACACAAGTCAGTGTTCAGTTGAAATGGTTGGAAGGATTTCACACAGATGGTGGAGGCATGCAGACTCACCTGCCAAGTGCTGCCAGGCAGCCATAACAGTGGCCAGGAGCTACTTTGTCCCTTGAGGACAGGCAGGCAGGCACCACGCAGCCCAGCAGCTCCCAGCCCTTCTGCCGTGGTCACCCCTCGACTGCAGAGCTGGGGACTCACTGTCACTGTCCATACAGGGCTGTTTGCAATGCCTGGCATGAATGCACTGTGCTGGGAAGGAATGCAGGTGCCCTCCTGCAGCCCTGAGAAGGATGCTAGCTTTTGCTACTTGAGTAACAATAGGACTCATTTTCCTTTTCTTTCCCCCTCCATTACATCCTTATGGTACCTGGTAGCCTCATTTACATATGTTCTGTATTACCATGGCTCTGCTTTATCCTACTTATTCCACCTCCTTTCCTTCAGTTCTCTTGATAATAACGAGCCTGCTGTAGGGCAGGGATTTATACAGACTACCAGGCAGGAAATCTGTGTAGGACGTGGAGGACTGCAGCTCTCAGCTTTGATGACTGCGACCAGTGCTAAGACTCCTGAGCCTGGTGTTTATGGTTTTGCTCCCATGACTTGTTACTACACAACAGGAAAATGTTGCAATGACTGCAGCATAAAGTGCAAACACAGCTCCTACGAAGCATTGTGAGGTTCTTGTGTGTGTTACCTAGAGAGAAAATGTAAGCCATCTCCTGGGGTTAGCTGGTAGCACGCTTTGTATGTCAGCTTTTAGATACTCAAATTTCTATGCCACTTTACCAAGAGAAGAACACAGAGTAGTAATTTTCCATATAGTTGAGAGCCCACTGCCACTGCATACAGAGCAGTAACTTCTGGAACAGTTTGAGTCAGATCCAAATGCATATCTGCAAACATTCAGGAACACCATGTTTTTGGAACCCAGCAGAATCTGTGTGGTTATTGTGTGCTAGGTAGAGAGTAAAGATTTATTTGTTTTCAGAACATAACCCGAAGCCAATGTTTAGCCAATAAAGAGAAACTTATCAAAACAATTTTTTTTCCTCCCAATCTCAGTTCCATTCTGTTTGCATGTGCAAGATTAGATCATCCCCTTTTAAACTTTCAAGTGCCTTTTCTCAAACTGAGCTGCAGTGAGGCCTTGGTTCGTCCACAAGGCTCCCGGGGCAAGGCAGCTCTGGGAGATATTTGTCAGCATTTCTTTGGCTATGATCGCATGCAGTGTCCAGGGCAAAACCATTTCAGCTCAATAGGAGAACCGGTCTGAGCAAAAGGGAAAAGCAACCAGAGCAACATGACAGGGATCAACTCTTCATGAGATCTGAGAAGGTGTTAGAGAAACCCTTCAGGAGAGAGGGCTGAGACACTGGAAGTTACCCAGGAATTGAATAGCATAGGAAATACCCTGAAAGCCTGACTACAGCAGAGAGGGGAAGGAAGGAAGTGGGAGGGAAAACAGAAGCTTTTCCTGATGTAGAAAGTGTCAGCAGTTATATGGGTAGTGTAGTAATGCTGAAAACTCAGCATGTTGTAAGACATATGTAGCCTGATATAAATTAAGCCAATTCCACCCTTAGAGCTTGTCCTTAAACAGCTGTGCAGGAGGAGCTGCCTTTCAATGAGGACATGGCTGAAATGGCTGCAACAAAGGGGTTATACCAATATCACCCTCAGCTCAACATCACGCCGTAGGCTCTTTCTCCAAGTAACATTCTGGGGAGTCACTACCTGAGGTTAATCCATGATGATAAAAGGTCAGGAAGAAAGCAGTAAAGAAAGGACGACATGGTGTAGCATCATCCTGGAAGGAAGCTGTAGTGAGAAGATGTGGCCACAGAGGTAGAATGTGGATATGAGCCAGCTGCAGATAGGTGGAGCTTTTATTGAGGTTTCTTAAATGTGGAAGATCTTCAGCACACAAAGAAGACCTGGCAGGGTGGCTCTATTCTCTGAATGATCAGCAGGAGGCACACAAATCTCTGTGCAGTGTGCTGGGAGGAAGATAAAGGGGACTACATGGGTCCACAAAACCATAAGATCTCAGAGGGGATTTTAAAGTAACTAAGGTAACTTACCTGTCCCCATGAGGAATTCCCCTCC